AAGCAATAACACAGCGTATATTACGAATTACAGATATTGCCCAGGAATCGCTTGAGTTTATCGCACCCATTGGTGGTTATGAAGAAATGCCACTTGTTCCACTTGAAATAGCTGTTGAGCCGCTTGTCCGAATTCTACCAGCTATTCAAAGTCATGCATATGTTGCCAAACAGCGATGTAAGAATCCTGCCGATGGATTGACACAAGATGAATCCGCGTCAATTATGTTGTACACAATGGGATGGAAGCCGCTAGATAAATGTTTATATTTCGTTTTGAATGATACATTACGCTCATCAGATAGGCAACAAAAGCTTGAACCATGGTATTTGTTTATGAGACTCTTCCTTAATGCACTCTTTCGCCTTCCTTCGCTTTCTAAAACTGCGTACAGAGGTGTTAAATTAAATCTAAGCAAGCGTTATACTGAAGGAAAAACAATCGTCTGGTGGGGTTTCTCGTCTTGTACAACGGTTGTTAACGTTCTCAATTCGGATCAATTTTTGGGAACGAAAGGTGATCGTACAATGTTTACCTTACATTGTCTAGCGGCTAAAGATATTCGTAAGCATTCTTATTTTCCAGCTGAAGATGAAGTACTTTTGATGGCTGCTACTCAATTCAAAGTAATCGGTTATCTTAATCAAGGTGATCTTCATATAATTCAATTGGAAGAGACTCGGCCGCCATATCCACTTTTACTGCCAGTGCCAATTGTTGCTTCATTATCGATCGATCCAATTCCTTCAAGTAAATGAAAATAAAAAAAAGAATGTTTCGCTTGATATACAACACTCCCACTTTCGATATCGAGAAGAAAATCAAGAGCTATGTCCTTTAGTCAATGTGCGTATCATAAAACCTGGACACAACCATTTTGCAATCGATCTTAAAACCGGATTCAAAATCAGCTTAAAATCAATTCAGTTTATAGAATCAGAAAAGAAAGCGATTCTATATAGCAACTTTCGATTTTGCAAATTTTTTTAATAAAAAAAACAATCGATTTTGTCTTACATAGTTTACATAACCGATTAAAACCTGGTCAGTTTTAGTCACTTTTTGCTTCACCTCCTAATATCTTTTGTCTCGTGAAATCTAAAGAAATGATTCAAGTTGTTATATTTTCAAAATCTACGAGACTCACTTGAAATATTGTCTTCAGAAGATGTTTTCTTCTCCTACACTAGCAGTCCAAAGAGCTCTAGGTATTAGGTAGATGTAATGCAAGTTTTTCCTACAGTTAGAAATTCAGAAAAATACTCTTGCTTTTTGCCGACTGCTAAAGGATTTGGATAACGTTAGAGTAAGAGTGAAAAGGAGATTTGACACCTTCGTCCCGAACACTCACTTTCGCATCCGTCTCTACTTTGAATAAGCCACTAAATAACAAATAAGTACATTGAACTTTATCCATATTGCCAGAAAAATTCCATTAAAAAACAAATAATTGTTTTGAATTGTAGGAGCTTCGACAACGACTGCTTTTACCAAAGACGAAGCAAAAAAACAGGCACAATCCAGCAAATCTCAAGTAGTCCAAGCAAATTCTGAGAGATTTTTCTTCGTTCATACCTATCTCTTTTTCTTCGTAGAAGGATACAACTGCAGTAGCGGCCGCCAGTGCTGTTAGTGTTGGTACCAGCTCCATCACGAAACAGGTTAGAAGAAAATTAATCTAGAAAATAGATATTCATCAAGTATCTCATATCTTTAGATATCTATCATGAAAATCAAGGCATCATCAAATAAAGGTAGAATGTCGTTGATTATCGCCTTGATAATGAGATGTACAACTAGTGATGAGTGTTACGGAGTGGGATGGGTGCGGCGGGTGTTGGTAGATGTAGGTTTGATTCTTGTCTTCATACATATCAGCAGCCACACCCGCACACCCGCACACCCACATCCATACACCCACACACTCACCCACATCCACACACCCACACACTCACCCACACCCACACTCACCCATACCCACACCCACCCACACCCCACACCCACACCCAAAATATTATTTAACTTTGGAAGTAAGGAATTCTGGTAGAAAAGTAAAATTTTGATTGATGATTTGAAAATGAAATCTATCATTTCTCCAATTTAGATTATAACGATGGTTTTCTAACATCATGAGATACTTCACGAACTCATTATTAACTTCTATCAATACTAAAAATAATCAGTATTAATTAACTTCCCTGAAACTAATAGATTAAATTTGATGAGTATTTATTTCCATTGCGTAAGATGATCTCTTCAGAATAAATAAATTTTAATTGGTTCAATTTATATAAGTCTGTTCATATAAAACTTTTGTATCAACGCATGTCAAACCATACTTGGACATACATGAGTAAAAATTGGAATAAATTTTTACTGATCTTAATGATTAATGGATAAACTACATACACTTTTCAATATAGCGTGTGAATGTAGCTTATCTTGACTACAAAGGGTTCTGTTTAAATTCAATAGGTTGGTGAAATATTTACTTAGTTTTGAAAAGTTCTATAACTTAGACGTTTTTCTAACAACAATCTCATAACTCTATCATTTTTAATGAAGAAGTCATCTTCGTTTGAGATTTATGAATAGAACTATCGCTTCTAGAGTACTGTAAAATCATCTCATACATCGAAAAGAATTCTATTCATTAATAAGATAATTCTTATTTGCAATATGTACTTTTACATTACAGCTCTTCTTTGGTATCTTATTCTATTTATAAGAATTCAGATCAGGATAATTGCAGACTATTCTTAAAAAACAAAACAGAACAGAAATGAACATATCTCTTGTAATATTAATCTTTACATATTCAGTTAACCAGCTGATCAGCTTTACACGGTTGAATTTCACCATCTTCTTAAATAAAGCTACAAACTTCCAACTATGTGAAATTGCAATTGAATTGTTATTATTTTCACATAGTTTACAAAGTCCCACAATGTTTATTTGTTAAATTTCATCAATTCGATTTAAAAAAAAGAATAGTTTCGTCCTGTTTCTCAGTAACATTAGTTAATCGTACAAGATCCAAAGATTAAAACACTTATAAGGACATACTGAATGCTTCTCGTCAGACCTTAACAGACCATACAAGATCTAAAACAAAGAAACATACATGGTACATAATGTAGATCTTGCCTGTTATTATCTGTTCGTGTATGTGTATGTTCTGTTCTTTCACTTGTTTGAGAATAGCTGACTCCATCAGCTTTTCTATGAAGAATAGCACCTGAAAAACAGGATCAAGCAGTGTACCAAATTTTTTTTCTTCTTTTTCTATACTAATAGTATACAAAACGGTTACTTCTATTTCTTATTTTTCTGTGGTGACAAAATAGTAAATTCTATTTATTTTTTATTTTTCTATATTGATGATATAGAAACAGTTATTTTTGTCTCATTTGTCCATAGTAATAATATAGAAAATGCTGATTTTCATTTCTTAGTTTTTTACATTGGTGATATGGAGAATCTTATTTTTCTACATTGGTAATAAAGATAACAGTTTGTTTTATTCTCTATTTTTTGTATATTGTTGACATAGAAAATTGTGTTTTTTATTTTTCTATTAATATCAATATAGAAAAATAAGAATTAAAAATAAGATTAACTATATTATTAATATAGAAGAATAAAAAACGACAATTAAGATTTTCTCTATTATTGCTATAGACAAATCAAAAATTAAAATTGAGATTTTCTATATTATCAATCTAAAAAATGAAAAACAATAAATAAGATTTTCTAAACTACCAATTTAGAAAAACAAGGAACGAAAATTTAGATTCGTATATTATTGATAAAGAAAAATAAGAAATAAAACTAACTGTTATCTATATTACCAACATAGAAAAATTAAAATTAAAACTGATCATTATTTATATTATCAATATAGAAAATAAGAATTAACAAATATAACTTTCTACATTATTAATATAGAAAAATGAGACGTAAAAATGGAATTCTCTATATTGTCAAAATAGAAAAACAAGAAATAAAAATGGAAATTTCCATACTACAGTATAGAAAAATGAAAAATAATGAATAGGATTTTATATAATATCAAATATAGAGCAAATGTTGACTGTACTTGTTCTAAAATAAGACTGAAGTTTATGTGCAAAAAAAACCGAAGCAATGTAGCCCATCAGACTGATCATTTCCATGTGTATAAGAAATATTTGAGAAGTTTGATTTAATTGAAATAAATCTATAATATTAATAAGCATCTCATATAGCTCTATGCCATCATCTACAAGTAGAAAATAAAATTATTTACTCGAATTTTATGTCTCACAATCTCTTTGATTTAAAAAGCAGAAAGTATTGTTTTGTTTCTGACTCTCATCTTCGAGTTGTTTGACACATAATTATAGTTCTCATATTGTTTTACACGTATTTGTTTTTTGTCGATCCAAGAAAAGAAATAATACTAAAATGTACTTTCTTCCAATTGCACTGAGACATTAAACATATTAAAAATACATGACATTACATGTAATAAAAATGAAAATTGATTAAATAGTATTAAATTTAATCAAGATTTCAATTATAGCTAGATTCTTCATAGACAAATTAAAAAGGATGAAATTATTTAAATTATTTTTAGGGAGTTTATAAAACTTCATGACATTTTTTATTAACTTCATCGATTCTGTAACTGTCCATTCAAGATATAATCATAGAAGTATTGTTTCTAGTCTAAAGCTCAAATCAGTATCAATATAAACCTTCAGAAAATTCTAGACAAACAAAAAAAAACTTTCTTCTAGGATTTAACCAGTGCAGAATGCGATACAATAAAAATTTGAAGAAGAAATCTTCACACTTATTGCTATTGAGAATAGCTAAAATCATGATGAAATCTTTTACGATCGTTTTTTTTGTGACAATCCCCAAAAATTTACACCTATTGAATAACCTACAAAACATAAGCTTGCAAACATTTTAGATCAATGTTTTGATAGAAGATTCGTATTATCTTGTAAAGAAGTGAAAATACTTAATTGTACAAAGTTCGAAATCGATCCGTGATCGAAACTGCTATTGTTTAAAAAACCGTGTTTCATACATCCACACTCTATTAGGTTGAAAATTTGTAATACATTAGAAATGAATTCAGAAGAAAAGATTTGATGATTCATATATGAGCCATTCCACGTAACCGACGACCTAAGGTGCTCAATCGAAGTTCTCTGATTTGGCTCGTTGTTATATATGTGATGGAGCAAAGTGTTTGAAGCATTTTGACGCAAGCCGATTGAAAAAATATTGAGCCGTTCGTTTTTTATAGCCATTTTACTGAAGGCACTATTAAATCAGTGAAAAACGCATTTTCACGAGAAGCGATTTTCAGCACCCTAAAACTTCAAGAAAAGAGCAACTGATTAAGGT